AGGTTTTTTTTTTTTTTTTTTTTTTTTTTTTTTTTTTCCAAAAAATAGTGCACAATAAGACTATAAACATGCCATTCTCTTTCAGCTGTAATGTTCTTAAAATTATTCTTGAATGTACTGTGATGTCAATAAAGCTCTTTAGTTCATTTTTGTTAACCTCTTGCACCTTAATTTTATGATTTTAATCTAAGGAACGTACTTTTATAAAAAGGCAGCTGGAACTTTGTATAACAAGTTTTAAAGGTACTTCCTCCCATCATCCCCAAAGAAAATGGTTTTATCTCAATAGTTTGTCAAAGTTTGTAAATTGTACCCATGGATTTTTGTCAAATTCCAACTTTAAGGGTGTGGAACAGGGCCAGAAGCAGACATTTACTTTTTATTTGGAATCATTAGACAGCTTTCTAAACTTTTCCTATTTTGGAGATTTTCAAGTAATATATTCTCTGTGTGTATAAAGTATGGTTCACTCCTGTAAAATGAAATTGCTGGATTCAATCAAGCCAGTGTACCAATTAGAGTTACTTATAAGGAATGATTGTGTTTGACACTAATAGTCAAGTCTGGAACTATATTTTGCAGTTACCCACTTCTGTTTTAGAAGCGTATTTTAAACACTTTGGCGTTATTATAGAAATAAGATTCACAACTCAATATATTTATTTATATTTTTAACGTATAATAAGACTTCAGCTCAGTGGAGAAATGCTGTATTATGCAGGTTTGTGTCAGTTTCATAACATTGAAATGGTTTTGTTTTGTTAGTTTTTTAAAATTAGGCTCAGTGAGTGATCTAGCAATTTAAGGCAGTCATAACTTAAGAGTAAAATGATGGTTCTGCAGGCATTTTAATGCTCAGCTGCTTTCAGGGTTCATTTTTATGTGATTATTCACTTATGCCACAGTAGTCATATAAATCTCTGAAAACAAATGCTTTTAAATTTTAATTTAAAAAGAAAAGAGCAGGTGCAGGTCACAGAAATGTTTTAAAGTATGCCTTTTTACCAGCAATAGTTTATTTTAAAATAAGCCAGATTTTTGCCAAGATCAGTGTTTCCTCAGAACGAAGGTAGAAATAGATTTGTATAGTGTGCTCTTGTACCTCTATATAAGTTCTTAAATAATTTTGAGCAGTTATGCATTTATCTAGAGGAAATAAATCAACTGTGAATAAATGCATGTTTACCAAAATGGTTGTTTTACAGTGCATTTAGTTCTGATATTTATAAAGTTGACATTTCACAGAATAACTTTTAAATAGTTTAGAATTCTATATAGTTTAGACATCAGTCCCATCTGGAGACAAAATAAAGGAAAGTGTGCAATATTTTTTATGTAGGTGAGCTAACATGGTATACCTAATTGTAGAATTACTCAATTAATTTGTAATAGATAAGTTGTATAACATTTTCATATCTTAAAATGTTTTTTAGATCAATCTTCAAGTGAAATAATATTTTCAAAATAAAATTCTACAGAAAAGTTCTGCTGGCTATGATATGCACATTTTTGGGCAAGATATGAACTACAGCCAAAAGCAGTATTTGACAGTTTTATTTACTCTGCCATAATATGCAAGCCTCTTATAATTTAAATCTGTAGATATTTTTAAAAACACAGTCATGATGTGTGTGATTATTAGAAGACACATTAGTGTTATAATTAGATATTTGGGTTTTTCAGATTTTTATGGATAATTTAGAGAGTTCATCATTTCATTGACATGTAATGAAGTATGTTTACCTTGAATGGTAAGATTTTATAAAATAGGGCTTCCATGATTTGGGATGTGAATGCTAAAACTTACACATAAGTTAATTAAATGTATAATTTGATTATGAAATCTTTTCTAAAATGACACCAAGAAAATTAATAGGTTCAATTTTTGAGACAATCATTGGTCTGGATTGGTTAATAAAAACTGTCTAAGAGGTTTTTAAAAAAAACATTTCTAGTGTATTAATCATACTTGTTTTTGTGGATTGGGGGTAAACCACACCATTAAGAGTATAAAATGTAATTTGGAAGAAGTAATTATAAGACTTGTTTCAGGCCCCAAAATATAAATAAAGATTGGTGTGGAATCTCGGTGTATGTTTTCTGCCATTGTAAAAAAAATTTTTATAGCATCTGTTTCTAATGGTATGTGCACAATAGGTGAATTTCTCAAACATAGTCTATTTTTACATAGGAATTATGTAAGTTCCAAAGTCTATGATACTGTCTTCTGGAAATTTTTTCTTTTAAACTGAGTTCTTTTCTTACATATATTAAAATCTATTTTAATTTACTAAAATTTTAAAAATGGTCTACTAAGCATGATTTAATGGAAGTAGTGATATACTGGATTGTCCTGGCTGTTGATACTTGATGTATTTTGTGCAAATCACTTAATCATTATGGGCCTTAATGTCTTCAACTGTATAAGGATGGAATTAGATTATTTCCAAGATCATGAACACTTAAAGCCCTCAAGTTCTTCAATATTACGCAGAATTTGGTTGTAAAGTCTAAACTGAAATGAGAAAATAGGTTTTTTATTAGTCCTAAAATAAGTCATGTGCTGTATTAGGCAGGTTTGTGTCAGTTTAACATGGCATTTATGAGTTATGTTTATACCATGAAGGTTTACCAGGTATAGAGTTCTCCTCTAAACACACACAGGTTAAATCTGCCACATTTTGATTATGGTAAGTTAAAATAAAACTATTCTAATAATTCCAGTTAACCAATTTATGTGAAATTTTATAAATGAAAATGTACCATTTAAACTCAGAGGATATAGTAGAGTATCATTTTATAGGAATAAAACAGCTGTAAGGGAGCATATTACTCTTAACTTGAATGAAAAAAGTTTATGTAAAATTGAATTTCATTATAGTAAAATAAATTGTAGACTAGTTTACAACACATTTATGGGTGATACCATAGTGATGGCCTGGGATATAACTCCAACAATGACTATATACCATATAGTAACTGTTGCTAGTTCTTCTAACACAACTCAGGTTTAAGTGCCATTGAGAAAGCTTTTGGTATTTGTACGGAAAAAATAGTGTGAGCTAGGTTTGCTTATCTGAGTCACACTGGTGGGTATTCAAGAAGCTTTTGTTTCCTGTCAGTATTAAGACAAATTGATTGCCTTTGACAAATTGAAAATGTGGGAAGGCTCTGAAACTCAGTGAGATGGTACATTCAAAGAAAAGTACATTTAAATAAAGCTCTTAGAACTTTATTCAATCATATTTGCACTTTCCTTTTTTTTCTTGGATCTGTTACTCCAACAAATATAACATGCAAAACCATCTTTTAAGCAGAGCTTTCTGCCATCTTGAGAGAGAAGTTCTAAAGAGAAGACTGAAGTCCACATCCACTCTTAAGAGGAGGTCAATATTTTACTAAGAAGCCATAAGTGAAAGAACATTACTGAGCTATGTAAATTTCACTAATTCAAAGAACCCTTTACCAATCTGACTCTTGAAAATGTACAATGATTTTTTTTTACCTTTAATGTTGGGAATTTATTGTTCTTACCCAAGGGAAGGCTTTTATACATTTAGTGGTTAAATGTGACAACTCACCATTCTTGCTCTAAATGAAGTTTGCCTAGCCTGAGTAATTAACAGTTTTCTGCTATGTAATATATGCCCTGTCCAGAATATATTATCAGATCACTTGCAGAAAATTTAGACTTCTGGCTCTCTGACTTTTGAGTACTTTGAAAGTGGATACAATTCTTCCTTTAGAGAAGTGCTCCCATGCTTTTATGATTCTAAGTGTCTAACGGGTATAAATGCCCTAGGAGACATCTGTTAAATAGAAATAGAGCTACAAAGAAAAGCTAGGTCACATTGCACGAAGCGGTAGCATGATGGCTACGTTGGCCATGAGGTCATAGGGATAGGCATAATAGGATCTTTTAAGTTCATTTATGATAATAGGAACATTATATAGTTTAATTGCATACACAATTTGACACATGTTGAGGGTGAAGAATAACTATGCCATATATATTTATATAACACCCACTAGTAGTGCAACCGTGATTAGGTTGACTCCTGAACACGCGAGAGTGGATCTCGGAACCTTTCTGTTGGGGATCTTTTAGCGGAGGGACCGGAAAAGAGGTGGAACCTTTCTGTCGCGATGTGGGTGGCCCGCAAGCTGCGCTCCTGCGGGAGCCGTTCTTTGGAAGTGCTTACGCCTAGGAGCCGGGGTACACGAGCTGACTGTGCTCGCTTCGCCACCACCGCGGGTATGTGTGGCGGTCCCCGGGCGCAGCCCACCGTGCGGGCCGGCTGCTGTGCGCAGGTGCAGCAGAGGGATGCGGCGCCGCCGGGCTCCGCGCGGGACGGGGCGAGACCCTGCCTT